CCGGGCGATGCTCTTGCAAACGCGTAAGTACTCACAATAATTCCCTGCCACCATGATATGCAATACTGTCTTTGTACATTCATTGGCATGTCAGTTGTATTTTAAAATCCCATAATAAAACAGAACTCTTCTGGCAACTCTTTACTTACACCATATTAGACCAATTCAATTTCACCTAAGTGGGTTATGAGTTAATCCCCCCGCGGCATACACGGGAACAAGGCTGTTCATATTTTACCACCTGGACACCACTGATTCAGTGATTCTATGTCTCAACAAAGGCACAAAGGCCAAAGCTATATACCTACAACATGAGCTAAGACTGAGTATGAGGCATAGGAGGATTAGGAGCTGTGCAGACTGCAGACCAAGACCGGGAATGGGGCAGTGCAGGGCTGCAGGCACTCTTTACCAGGATCAATAAGTACTACTGCAGCGCTGATCCTAGAATCATAGTGGCAACCCATGATATTTTAGAATCAGTTCCTTTTTATTTTCCCATTTACTAAAGATTTAAGCCAATATCTTATGTATGATGATGCTGGTATCCATACTTTTCTGGTCTACTTATAGGACTTGAAATTGAACTTGAAGGAGAGTCTAAAAAACTGTCTGCTTTGCCACTATGCCTAGAATTGCACCATGTGTGATTGTGAGTTTTGCGACTATGACCCAAATTTAATGTACCCATTCAGGCATTGCAAATATTGCTATGGAGTGGGCCAGTGGGCCGTGGGGACAACAAAGTAGGTACCGGTACTATATAGTAATAGTACAAGTAAACCAGTACCTAACCTATGGCTATATGCCTACTAGCTGTAGCTGCTTCAGTCTCAGAGTCTGACAAGCCTCAGAAACTTCCATTTTAATATATGATCAAGAAAAAAATTCTATTTGGAGCATTATTACATGGAGAAAATTCGTTGTATACACAAAAGTTTATCCAATTTCAAACGCATCAATTTAGGTACCACAGTCTAGTTTACTCTCCAGTCTACAATCAAGTGTCAATATTATCAAGTTGTTAATGAATTCTTTACTAGTTTCCTACGGTACTACCTAGTGCAATTTCATAGATGATAGAACTCAATACATCAATCAACTTAAGTTTGGTCTCTTTTCCATAAAAATTATTATACCACCACCATATGTCACCGACGGTAGTAATAATGGCAATAAAAAAGTAACATGGCAACATTAATTGAGAAGTAGACTTAGTAGAGTGTAGAGAACTAGTCAAGTACCGTACCCGTACCGTAGTCAGTAGTGGCGTAGTCCGTAGTCGATAAGAATTTCGAGGCGAAGGCAATATTCTGGATTTTGATTTCTTAAATCCGAATAACTTGACATATCCAACTTACCCAATGAATTAAGTGTACAATCATTTGGGGTAAAAGCAGAATTACGTCTGGAACAGTTTGCTGCCGTTTCTCCCACGTGCACGATGCACTTGACAATCAATCGTCATGATCATGAATCGATCTCGAGTCAATCACCTAAGAAGCTACAGCAAAAATTTATTAGTTACTCATACAAAAATATCGAACAAGTGTTTTCTGTGACAACATTTGCTGATGGTTTCGTTCACATTTTCTATAAAGCATAGATTGATATGAAACTTATAAAAATCAAATCGCAATCATCAAAGAATCAAATATGACTAAGGATAATTTCTAAATATTATTTGAGCAAAAATTGCAAAGAATTTTTATTTTAAATTATTCAAGACTAAGTCACGCGCATCAATAAGAACTCTGACAGTCAGCTGACTTGTGCTTAAAAAGTTTTTCATTTGACTATATAAATTCTGCAAAAACATAGGATTCCACAAATAAAAATTTTTTGCTGTCATTTTGAAACGATGATAGAGTATTTATCAAAAAATTTGACTTTACAATTAATTTAATAATGAAATGACACATTTGTCTGCGTAACTGAAAACCTTTATGCTCACATTTTAATGCTTTTTAACATCATTAATGAGAATAGCAATAATACTGAGTATTCTCGAATAATTAATTCGTGATAATAGGTCTATAAGTATATATACAATCATGAGACAGTTAACAAGTTTCTCTGTTGACTTTCCACTAGTCCTGTTTACTTAGCTACTCCCGTTGGTGTCGACACGACTGTGTTAGCGGAGCAAGTTAAAGATTTCGTAGGCATATAAATAATCCCGAGTGACAATGTCGGGGGATAAAATAAACATATTTCCTTCACGAGGGTAAGGATTATTTATGTATATTATTTATATTGTGGATTTGTGGTTAATAAACATATTCTTAAAAGAGTACAATATGATATAAAATTTCTTGATTACCAACCAAGCTCCTGCCAAACTTTACCCGATGTTTTTGTGTCATTCCTATGGAGTATGGAATATGGATAAATATATTTTGTACCGTCAAGGCCGATATAACATCGTCACCACAGGCTCACACCGGCCTTCAATAGAAACTACCCATTTATAAACTAAACTACATCTTTATACCTAGCGTAATCAAAACTTTTGTAGTCATTACACATTAGGACTAGGTGGCTATTGAAAGTTCCGACTTCTGATCACTGATCAGTATTGCATGGTTTTTAGTGACAGGCGGTGAGCTAATTGTAGTCTTTGCTGAGTGTTTACGTGGTGCCTGAGTGGGACATGGGTCATTGATGGTAATTGCAATTCTATCAGCCTAGTATCAGGGGCTCAGGGCCAATCAGGCAGCTGGGCTGCTGGCTTTCAGAGTTTGTTCTATAATTCCTATTTCCTATGTAATGTAAACAATTCCAAAGAATATGCCAATGTAAATGTCAGTGCTGAACTGACAGGCTGACAGCTGATTCAAAAGTGAAGGGACTTTTGAATTGTGTTTTATTGTTGGCTAAATTCGAATTTTTCTTGCTTATGTATGTATATTTGTGGCTCTAATGAGACCAATTTTTGTTATAGGGTAAACGCCGAAACGCGCTATATTCCGACACATTAAGGACGCATCGAGAAATGAAAAACTATAAAAAAAACGTATGCGTTACGTAAGTTCTGTTGGCTTCGCGTGACCATAGTGGCAAAGCAGAGAGTTTTTTAGACTCTCCCTCAAGTTCATTTTTGAGTCCTATAAGTAGACCAGTAAAGTATCCTGGATACCAGCATTATCATACTTAAGAAATTGGTTTAAATGAGAGTTTTTTAGACTCTCCCTCAAGTTCATTTTTGAGTCCTATAAGTAGACCAGTAAAGTATCCTGGATACTAGCATCATCATACTTAAGAAATTGGTTTAAATCTTGGGTAAATGAGGAAATTAAAAATGAACTGATTCTAAAAAAGCTGTGGTTTGCCACTATGCACGTGACTCTCAAAATACCGCACTATGCGTCAGCAACAATGAAACGTCACAAAATGTTGCCATATTTATTAAAAAGCCTTTAGAATGGAAACCTACCAAATCCCTATATTCCGTCACTGTGTGGCAATATTTGACACGTGGTGAGTTGTATTGCGTCAGCGCTTCGAATTTAACTGCCGACATCCACGTGTTCGAATTCCGTTTGCTGTGTGAGCTGTATTGGGATACAACACGGCTTTGAATTAGAACACTAACGAATATTGAACATTACTTAATTACGTTTGAATTAACAGCTATTAGGCCTTTAATTAAGTAAATTTCAATTTTTGTACAAAGCTTGGAACGATCTGTGTGTGTCCAATTCAAGTTGTGTCGGAATTAGTTTTCATGTGTCTAAATCCATTTCTCAACTTTCACATTTTTCGATGATCTCACCAGGTGGCATGCATTGTCTCTCTTTGGATCTCAATATTTTCCTACTAGATGGCCAAGACATAGTGTTTTGGCAGTATTTTGACGGGCAAATGTATGACGTCACCATTTCAACCATCAACAAACGCATGGAACTAAAAAAAAGCCTAATATAAAGGAAAAGCTGGAGAGGTGATGGAATTACCCACGATGTTGGAATATACCGCATTTACCCTATTAGAAATCTTGAGGCTCAATCATGCAATTCTATTAATGACTAAATCCCAAGTGGAAATTTTACTACTCCAACAGGCAACAGACATACTTAATTTTTGTACATGTGTTCAGTTACCCTATGGCAGGTGAGTGTGGATTTGGGAGGAATATCTATATTCAACCACGGAATTGGTTATTCTCTTGAAATGTAATTTATCACTTTTACAGAACTAAAAAAGTTGTTGCACAACATGACAACAATCAATACAATGCAAAGCTCACACAGGTTTCGGAGCAAGTTCACAACTTTTGTTGCGCTGAGATCATATGGGAGTAACTGTTTACACTTTCTTCTAAAACATGGATGGCAATGCTTTCACATAATAGATTATACATTTATACAAGATACAAAGAAAAATAGGGACTGGCAATATTATTCAACATTTTATTGATCCTCTTATGATTTGTTTAAATTTGTACTGTAAAATAAAATAATGCTAACTTAAGTAACCCAGGCATAGCACATGTTGTAAATAAAAATTGCCAGAAAAAGCACGTCAGAGCCAACGTAATCAATTTATTTAGAACAAAACTTAGTTTATTATGAAACACTTTGAAAACTCAGTGTTGCTTCAAAATTGTGAAAATATCAGTTATATCACGCAGCCACACGAACAGTAGTAAATAAAGGCAACCACACACTTGTCACTTGGTAGATTTAAGTTTTAGTGTGAAGTTGCCAATTAGTAGGGTAAACGCGGTATATTCCGACATCGTAGGTAATTCTGTCACCTCTCCAGCTTTTCCTTTATATTAAGCTTTGTTTTAGTTCCATGCATTCACTGATGGTTGAAATGGTGACGTCATACATTTGCGTGTTGAAATACTGCAAAAACACTAGGTCTTGGCCATCTAGTGGGAAAATATTGAGATTCAAAGAGAGACAATGCATGCCACATGGTGAGATCATTGAAAAATGTGTCAAATTTGACAGTTGACATGGCTCTACCAAATAGTGAATAACTGTTTGTATAGAAAGAATATTATGGTTTGAGACTTTTAAATACGTCTGTGAATATATTAGGAATCCTTTAAGTATACTTGTATTCGCTGATTTCAAGTCGTAAATAAATTAATAGATGATTAAGTTGAGAAATGGATTTAGACACATGAAAACTAATTCCGACACAACTTGAATTGGACACACACAGATGGTTCCAAGCTTTGTACAAAAATTGAAATTTGCTTAATTAAAGGCCTAATAGCTGTTAATTCAAACGTAATTAAGTAATGTTCAATATTCGTTAGTGTTCTAATTCAAAGCCGTGTTGTATCCCAATACAGCTCACACAGCAAACGGAATTCGAACACGTGGATGTCGGCAGTTAAATTCGAAGCGCTGACGCAATACAACTCACCACGTGTCAAATATTGCCACACAGTGACGGAATATAGGGATTTGGTAGGTTTCCATTCTAAAGGCTTTTTAATAAATATGGCAACATTTTGTGACGTTTCATTGTTGCTGACGCATATTTGCCACACAAAGTGACGGAATATAGGGATTTGGTAGGTTTCCATTCTAAAGGCTTTTTAATAAATATGGCAACATTTTGTGACGTTTCATCGTTGCTGACGCGTAGTGAAGTGTTTTGAGAGTCATGTGAAGGCAACAGAAGTTACGTAATGCATACGGTTTTTTTTATAGTTTTTCATTTCTCGATGCGTCCTTAAAGTGTCGGAATATACCGCCTTTACCCTATTTTTACCATGGTGAGCACAGCCAGTCATTCACGCATTAGTTGCATTCACGTAAAATTTTTTTTCAAGCTCAACAACCTGCATGAATGTCATACCCAATCTAGTCTAGTAGCTGTTGTGTTTGCATGTCTGGCTCTCATCAAACATTACCTAGTCACTCATTGCTTCCCGCTCAAACATTTCTGCGGATTTTGTTTCCCCAGATCATGTGACGGAGTTCAATTAGAATTAAATTTTTATTTTGAGCTTCCTGCGGAATTAGTGGCAATTTTTGGCAGCCTAATCATCCTGTGGAGTTCATTAACAGACGCATTAGTTTGTCTGATATCCCATTTTTTCCAATTGTGGACTAGATACAAGATGAATCATCTACTGACATCTAGCAGATGTCTTATCTCTCATGGCTCTGAAAATAGCAAGAAAGTTCTATTTGTAGCTCAAAGGGTAGATATATTCCTCTACAGATTGATGGTAATTGCTATTGCAGTGTCAGCCTGTCAGGCATCTTACTTTCAGTCATATATAATTCCATTGTAACAACATTAAAATCTAAAAGAATACATCATTGCATCTTGAACTGACAGATGACTCAAAACTGAAGTGAAATGCTTCTTGCTCAATTTAATTGGAAATTTGAAATTTTTGTATGAAACACATAGTTTCTTAAATGAAGTCTTGGCTTAAAAATAAAGTTGTATAATTTATCACTTTAATTATATTGGCTTTTTGAATTTGATTCAGGTAATTAAGTAATAATCTTATAAGATCAACTTCTTGTCATAGTTTTTTTACTGTTAATCTCAAAATATAATAAAATCTGATTGCAAACTACTTTTGTAACTGTATATTTGCATTTTAATCACTGAGAACTCTCATCATTAATTTATTATTCATATGTATCTTTTTCCTCCAAAGGTTGAGGAAGCATTAATATTATTCATTCATTTTCAGTTATCACCTTATTCTTTTAGAAAGTTATTTTCACTTCAAGCAAATTTTGACTAAAAATAAACTTGACTGAAAATACTGTGAACCGGGGCTACTCGGGACAGATTTGATCTTTTTTTTTGTTAATAACTGTTAATAACTTCTTACGATGAAACATTTCATAAACAAATTTAGGCTCATTTTATAGCTCTTTGCGAGGGCTATCGAATGGCTTTGTCAAAAAAATTCCATATGCTATTCGTAAGGTGCCAGATGCAAAATGAAGATAGTCCCGAGTAGCCCTGTCGAGTAGCCCCATCGGTCCGGGCTACTCGGGACAATGGGAATAAAACTTCATTTCAAAACATTTGAAGCATGCAGAGCGTACTCATCCATTACTAGCAGTACTCTGAAGTCCTCCTCTTTCATTGTAGATGATGTAGATGTAGAATAAATGACATTTTCTGTGATTTTTACTTGTTTTTCCTTTATTGATATGATATTGCCATACACATTAATTACCGTATTATTGATGTGCAATTATCATATTATTGATGCAAAATTAGTTAAATTACCGTATCCATGAACATGCCATTGAGCATTTACAACAACCTTGTCCACTGCAAGCTTCATATCAGCAGCCTTATAGCATTTTTTTGTATCTGTAGGCTTACAGGACGGCTCGTAATTTCACATCATTTTAATTGGGTTAAGTGAATTTACTATGGTAAAAAATATCATGAAAAACATACCTGAAACAGAAAGGAATGTTTCAGTGACAACCAACGTATCTTTTGGAGAAATAAATCATAGTTTAGGTCAATTACTTTTCATTCTATGATGCCTGGTGCACAATTCTATACATGACATGCGATGTACAATTTTGTGATGACCAATGATGCGCTAATTTTTCAACAAGTGAAATTTTTTTGCTGAGCAAGGAAAATGTGATCAATATTCTTTGTTTTTAATTAATTTTTTTCATAATTGGAGCCTTTGCCAACTGAGGTTCTACCGTAAATGTGTTTTTTGGGGTGTCCCGAATAGCCCCGGGGGGTGTCCTGAGTAGCCCCGCCGTGCGAAAATGACTGCCATTTCTTTTTGGAATGAGATAGGCAAATTCTGTCAATTACGCTTTCAAGCCGACACCTGGGTGCAACTTTTACGTAAGTAAAAATTTTTTAATACGGCGAATATTTTTTTGCTACATACCTTAGCAGTTGTAACTTTACAAAATATAGTTTTTCACCATTTTTTTCAGGAATTTTTCAAAGCAAGTAAAGGTAGTATTTTTCGACTTTCTTTATACTACATAGATAAGAAAAATGTTGACGTTTACGCCACTATTTTTAGTTTTGCAATATTCCAATTAGTTTCGCTACTACAACAGTTTTACGCCGTGTCGGTGGCCTGTCCCAAGTAGCCCAGCTTGTCCCGAGTAGCCCCGGTTGACGGTAGCTTTTTATCTGTTTGTAGAAGAATATTATGTGTTATACGGCATAGAAATTGCTGGAATGTATACCATTCAAGCTTCAAATAGAGCTTTTCTGCCTCGTGGTGAATTAGGTACCTCCCTTCTGAATGTTTATAACTTATAAGAGTGCACAATCTGGCCATGATATTAGAAATGTATTGGAAATTTGTCACTTTTGGGATTTCAGTAACTAGTAGGAAAACTCCAATCCTTTCTCTTCTGAAATTTACATTTTGATTATTATTGTTAATAGGAATAAAAGTGTTTTTGTGTTATTAGTTGATGATATATGGTATGGCATTCAAGTATAGAAATTGCAGTTCAAGTATATTAGATTACATTGCATGAATTAAATAATTTTTTTGCACTTGGAAGCTTCATTATTTAGAGGAAATTCTGGAAAAGACTGAAAAAAATCTTAGTCTAATTTGTAAAGAAAGATATAAGCTAATCAATTTATTTTCAAGACTGACTGTTACTAACATCATGTATATATACTCATAAAAAATATTTTGAGGTCTATCAAGATTTCTTCTTTGCAGAGCCCAGACACAGATCAAGGCTCGCCTTGCGGGTGCAGTCAAAGGCCACTCTCTCCTCAAGAAGAAAGCTGAAGCTTTGCAAATGCGCTTGAGGCAAATTCTTGCTAAACTTATTGAGGTTAGTGTTGAGATTGTGGTCTTAATACCTGTTATATTACATAACTATTGTTTGTCAGGCTGCAAAATTTGTAATATCTCTGATTCATTAATACATGTTTGATGATTTGTTGTAAAGTGGAGCAAACATTGTTTGAGCTACACAAATTTAAATCTTTAATCAAAGAGTATCAAATGTTTCTGATTAATACCTATATATCATTTTCATATATTAATTCCAATTAATTTTCATTACTCACTAGTCACTATCAATAAGTGTAGGAATAAATGTTTCTAATTTTTCACCTAGATAATGATAGCTGGTTAGGCATGCAGCATTTGAGTTTTACCCTTCCAAAATGTGCTAATAATTTGTTTTTCAACAGTCCAAAACTCTGATGGGCGACTTGATGAAAGACGCTGCCTTTTCCTTAGCCGAAGCTAAGTTTGCATCTGGCGGGGATTTCAATCAAAGCGTCCTTCAGAATGTGACACATGCTCGTCTTAAAGTCAGAAGCAAAATGGACAATGTTGCAGGTTAAACTTTATTCTTTGTTTTGAACTATTTGTCACTTAGCAGCACTTAACCCTTTTCGATTGATTGAATACTTTACTTATTGCTTTAGAAAACGTTTGTATATACACGTACATAAATGAAAATCTTAAGTTTTGTCAATTGCTTCCATTCTAATCATGTTTTTGACTGTGTCTGATATGTGAGTTAATAGAGCACTATCATTTAGGTAATTACTGTAATGGTATCTTTCTTTGATCTGGTGCAGCATATGGTATTTTATCACCTAAGTACGTAAAGCTGCACAAATTCCATGGCTTCAATTCTGTAGGCTGCTACAATCCACTTCGAATGTTCATTAAAAAGTTTCCAAAATTTCTGTGTTCAGGTACTAAATTGCCGGTGTTCGAAAGTTTCGAAGACGGCGTTGACAATTATGAGCTGACTGGATTGTCTAGGGGTGGCCAACAAATGGCAAAACTTAAGGCAAGCTTCAAGAAGGCCATTGAGCTCCTCATTGAACTGGCCGGCCTCCAAGCTTCCTTCATTACCTTGGACATCGTTGTCAAAATGACAAACAGGAGAGTCAATGCCATTGAACATGGTTAGTGTTTAAATGCAAATATGCTTTACTTTTTTGTGTGTCTAATGTTGCGACCAACAGGTTAAAGAGAGAGTAATGCTTTTTCTTGAATTTTTCTTTATTCTGGCATTCACTGTCAATCTCAATTACTATATATTGTTGTATTTATATTGTAGTCTTGAATATACAGTGGCTCGCAAAAGTATTGGATACATTGCAATTTTCTTCATATCTCAAGTTGAAGTGTGGGATTTTTTTTATAATATTTGGTCAGTATATTGCTAATAGTGCTAGAAACATTATATAGAAAGGATATCGAAAAGTATGCATTGTTTAGATTTTATTCAACAAATAGAAAAATTAACTCGTGCAAAAGTGTTGGATACATGTTCAAAAATGAACAAAAATAACTTTTTTTAACTACTCAAAATTCGCTTTTCACTTCAGACGTTCCACTAACCTCATAACGTTATCTAATTTTCCAATCAGAGCAGTTTGCTATTTTTTACGAGATTTTGTGTTCTGGTGAAGATATTATTCAGCTTCATCTTTAAAATCTAAATTTAAATGGCTAAAACTCGAGAGTTGGCGACAGATTAGCTTCAAAAGATCACAAGAAACGAAAGGGGTTCCGAATAACATCCAAGGAGCCTGATCTATCATTGAGTACATATGAAAATAGCATCAGGAAACAATCGTCCTTACGATATCATCCGAGCATGCTGTTGCTAACCTTCCAAGACTCGGTCGTCCAAGGAAACTAACGGACGGTAATGCAAGGTGGATCAACAGAAAGGTACAGAAGAACCCGTTTGTTACTCGTGGTGAAATTAGAAGCGACCTGGATGAATCTGGGATTGATGTAGAAGAGGACACAGTCAACAGAACTCTAAATCGTACTGGTCCTATTGCAAGATCTTCACGAAAGATTCCTCGAAAATCGGACAAAATCCTGGTCGGACGAAAGAAAAATCGAACTTTCAAAAGGAATTTGATCGAACCTTGACATAGGACCAATATGATTTAGAGCTCTGCTGATTGTGTCCTTTTCTACATCAATCCAAGATTCATCCAGGTCGCTTCTAATTTCACCACGAGTAACGAACGGGTTCTTCTGTACCTTTCTGTTGATCCACCTTGCATTACCGTCCGTTAGTTTCCTTGGACGACCGAGTCTTGGAAGGTTAGCAACAGCATGCTCGGATGATATCGTAAGGACGATTGTTTCCTGATGCTATTTTCATATGTACTCAATGATAGATCAGGCTCCTTGGATATTATTCTATACCTCTTACGTTTCTTGTGACAATCTATGATCTTTTGATGCAAATCTGTCGCCAACTCTCGAGTTTTAGCCATTTAAAATTGGATTTTAAAGATGAAGCTGAATAATATCTTCACCAGAACACAAAATCTCGTAAACAATAGCAAACTGCTCTGATTACCTAATTAGATAATGTTATGAGGTTAGTGGAACATTTGAAGTGAAAAGCGAATTTTTAGTACCTAGTTCGAAAAAGTTATTTTAGTTTATTTTCGAACATGTACCAATACTTAAGCGTGGGTTAATTTTTCTATTTGTTGAATAAAAACTAAACAATGCATACTTTTCAATGTCCTTTCTATATAATGTTTCTAGCACCATAAGCAATATACTGACCAAATATTATAAAAAATCTCGCACTTTAACTTGAGATATGAAGAAAATTGCAATGAACCCAATACTTTTGCGAGCCACTGTACATGTGCATATTGTCAAATAGCCTCCCAGTCTCCTGATATTATTTGGAGGCTGAGACTTCAGTAACACGCACTTCTTCTGCAGTAATTATCCCTCGATACGAGCGCACTCTGAAATACATCATCTCAGAGTTGGACGAGCTGGAGCGAGAAGAGTTCTACAGGCTTAAGAAGATCCAAGCAAAAAAGAAGGTGGTCCGTGACCGTAAGGAAAAGGCCGCTGCCGAAGCTAAAGCTGAAGGTTTGCTAAGGGAGCAAGAAGAGGTACCAAATCTCATTGATGACAACGATGACGATGATATACTGTTCTAAATAGCGTTCTTTGATTCTGTGTTGCTCGTTCGCATTCTTCCCAGGCTAGTCACGGCATCAGAGTCTCCTTTTTTGCGCTTTCGTTCATTAAACAAGCAATATAGTCGTTTCTTATTGTAAGAAGTGCTGTATTAAAAAATTTAATCGAACTTTCTTCAACAAAATTTACTGTCTTGTGATAATTTAAGTACTAGCCTCATGATCTTTCTTTTGCGAGAAGCTACATACATTTTTCCGATGAATGAAAGGTTACACATAGTGCGAGTCTTCAAATGATTTGATCAAATCGAGTACGAACGTGAATATTTATTTCATAGCTCCGCCCTCGCAAGAAAAAATTTCAGGTTCAGTCGACTTGTGTTGTGCGTTTCTAGCCTGTGAAGTTACCGTCGAAGATTGATATTAACGATCATTCCACGTGTTGTATGTGGTGCTGTTTGTAACAATGTCTCGAGAATCCTAGCTTGTCTTGCTCCAAAATTAGTAACTTGAAGTAAGGTAAGGAAGAATAATAAGTAATAACTAGAATTTTTCAGTTTCCATTATTATATTTCCGGATGTTGAGGACGTATAGAAACAATTTTATAGAAAAGTTTGGTTCGTTGATGGTGCGAGTCATTTTGTTGGATGAATCTTTATTGATATTATTTATTCCACGTGTTAGCAATTGTAAATAAGTTGGATATTGGATTTATGGATATTATACCCTAGTGTATCATGCCGTTTATTTTTCCTAGTATTTCCCTAGTGGTAATAATAGTACTTGCGCATAATCTTGTGAAATGTTGGAGAGATTCATCCGACTCGTGTTGCACAAATTATCTGCCCACATTATGGACATGGTATATGGAGAAAAATTATACTTTTTTACTGATATTTTTATGCATGACGGCTAGTAAGTCAACACTCAACGTCAGGTAAATATCGGCATTGGAAGTTGCATTACGCAACATGAACTCCTTCACATTGAATACCTTATCTATTTCTGTGTATGGAAGATTACATAACAGTTGCACTTAAATAGCGAGGTGTTAAGTGGGTCTCAATGAATTAAATTACATCTACCGGCAAAAAATTCAATCCTTTCGTGACCCGTTAAGACCGCTTTGGACAGCTGATACAAAAAACATTTCTCATAACTGGATAGAAAAGGCAGCGTGAATGAGCACAATCAAAGCACACACGTGTATCCAAGAAGAGCAGAAAACTAAATTCCAATAACTAGAAGCACAAGTCTAGCACTGGACAGCAAGCTGATGAAAGAAGAAGCTAGCCCACAATGTCATCTGTTAGCTTTTCAAATAATCGCTAAATGTCAACTCAGATAAACGATTGCATTTACGTAACATCAATATAAATGTGCAAAAATAATAAATGTAACCAACTTTTATTGACCACACTCGAGTTCAGACACCAAGTGAACCAAGAACTGTTTCAAAAGTGAACCAACCAATGAACTGTTTCAAAAATAATAACTCATTAACAAATGAATATTTCCGTATAGCACTTTCTCAACAAAATCTCGGGCGCAAATATTTTCTACTTAATTTAAATAAACAAATGAAGTAAAAAAATAATAGCTAATTAATTGATCGTCTTCTTCGGTTGGCTTTAACTTTTTCTTGCGATAGCGCGGCATCTTTTTTGATGTCAGTACCAGAGCCAGGAGACCCTGAACCAACATCAGATTTTAGGACATTTCCAGCTGCCACAGCAGCAGGAGTTCTGTCAGGCATAGAACTGACACGAGCAGCTACAGGAGTGTTAATTTTTTGCACGTCACCTGCACCGGCACCACTCATACCGGCCACGCTTCCTGGCAACGATTCGTCAGGCACGGCAGCGGGTTTAAGAGGCGCGATGTCAGGCTGGGATTTCACATCCGGTGCGGATTTTGAAACCCCAGGAGCGGTGTTCTCATCCAAGGCATTAACATCGTTTCTGTTTTTGGGCTGTCGTTCCAACAATAATGAAGCAGATTCAGGAGGCGACAGAGCTCGCTTGGCGTTGTTATCAACAGAAGCCGGAATTTTATCAACAGAAGCCGGCACTTTATCAACAAAAGCCGGCACTTTATCAGCAGGAGCCGAAGATTTATCAGCAGGAACACCAGCGGGGAGAACATTGTCGGCCGGAGACTTTTCAGCGAGAGTAGGGACAGCAGGTGCAGCAGGAGGCAGACCACCAGGCTCGCTGAAGAAGTACATCTGAGGGGAACAGATTATCTAAGGTTTCCGTTGATTTCATAGCAAAACTAAATCATGAGATGTGCAATAGCATACATAAGAAAAAAATTGCAGCGCTAGAAAATGGAAAATGAAGTCATCATTTATACGGATTGTCAGAAAATTAAAACTTGACGAAATAAATTTAAAATATAACATACTTGGACATGCATGATTTTTCATTAAAATCATTTATAAGGTTAGACCCAAAATTTTCACCATGTCAGCTAAGTTGAGCCTTCCAGAAGTAAACAGACTTTGTGTCAAGAACTTCTACAGCAGAATTTAAACCAAGAAATTTTACAACGTAAATTAAATCAAGAATTTCTGCAACAGAATTTGGAACCAAGAACTTCTACAGCAGAATTCAAATGAAAAACTTCTACAATAGAATTTAAATCAAGAACATCTACAACAGAATCTAAATTAAAAACTTCTACTGACCATGAAAGCGCCGGCGATAGCTACGTGCAGCACAGCCACGACAACAACAATGACGATGGCGATCTTCTTGGCCACGACGCTGACCTCTTCAGTATCTTCATCGTCGACGATGACAGCAGTGCCTCTGAGTCCCTCATACACAGCCTTGCACAGCACCAGTCCACTCAGCACGACGGCCACAATACCCACACACCAACGCAACCACACCACGGGCACGGACCACACGATACACACGGGTACGAGAACGGCCAGAGAGTAGCCGTAGAGGCAGATGAGGTGCAGCAGAGACAGGGGAGGTTGAGGCGACTTGTAGCGCAGCCCGCACCAGATGAGCAGAGGCACCAGCCAGCCGTACGAGAATACCAGGCACGCCGCTAGCGAGACTGGCACGCCAAAAAATGCCATTGAAAGACATTAGATTTCTTGTAATTAAATTCAAGTTCGAAGTAGTATATGGCATTTTCCCATTGAAAAACTTTAAATTCCTTTGGGAAAAATGGCATTTGAGGGCCAGGAGGATCAAATGGGCATTTGTGACGAGGTAATTGAGGATCTATAGGAAATAAAGGCATATGAGGCATACCGTTTTTCATCAGTGAAAAAATTTCTTTTCAAATAAATATCTCTTTTCCGTTAGAAATAATAAATCGGACTTTATTTTTATAGAGAGTTTCAACAGTTTTTCAAGTTTTCTAAAAACTTCCTTTTCAATTACACTTAGGCGTCGAATAATGATTCTGGATAAAAAAGACACGATCGCAGTTCTGAAATAAAAATCCATATATTCTAACGTTTCGGCTATCTACACTTTAGCCATCATCAGAGTAAATAAGATGATAATCTGGAAAGAATATAAATTCAGATAAGAATACAGTAAATATCAGATCAGATTTTATCTATACAAATTGAGGAAATTTGACATCTCTTGGTATTTTACATTGATGAACGGATTATTTTGTCTAATAGCTATTGCCTCCGCTATTCTAAGGTCTAATACTTCAGAAAAAGAATGAATTACAGAGAAACAGTCGGATATGTTGTTG